AAAGTGGGTACAAGGAGGTGTCCCCCCCACCCCCCTACCTATTAAGTAGTCAGTCCCAGGCAACCATCAGCCTGCTTTCTGTTGCTACAGATTTGTTGTGGGAATTCAACCCGTTTTGACTGACAGGCGTGTCAGTTTCCTGGGGGGTCGATTTCATAACTGCCTGGGTGTTCCCTCATCCTAAGTTTCCCCCCGTGTCGATGTGTAGAGACCCTGTCCTCCGCCCACAGCACGCCCAGACACCAGGCCCGGCCCCAGCTTCAGGGATCCCCGCCTCTGAGAAACGGATGCCCCGGGACTCCATGGCCGAGGAGTTTATTAAGATCCCGTGACCTGAGAAACCGTCTTGTGAACTTATCAGATCAAACGAAGTCTGAGCGAATCAAGTCCCCACAGTCCCCACCCTCAGCTCTTTCCTTCGAGTCTATTTCTGCCCAGAGAGGGTTCCCGCAGGAGAGGCCTTCAGGACGTGGGGGGAGGGGGCAGAGGGAGCGTCTGCCTTCAGGGAGGATGGGGGTCTGGGGGCGAGGTGCAGCCAAGACAGGGTCACCCCCACCCCAAGGGAGGCCTGGACACGCCCCAGGTCCCATGGCAACTTCCAGTCTCTTGTGTCAGAAACAAGTTCCTCTAACAACAGGATCTTGTTCTCTAAACAGCCATGAAATAAATATATAAACACATGCCCTCAACCTCTGACGCATGTGGACGGAAAAGGAGCCACAGAAACCCAACAAGCTCGGGGGCGGCCTGCCTGGCGGCCTAGACCAGTGACGGCGAACCTTTTGAGCTCGGCGTGTCAGCATTTTGAAAAACCCTAACTTCACTCTGGTGCCGTGTCACATATAGACATTTTTGGATCTTTGCAACCACAGTAAAACAAAGACTTATACTTTTGATATTTATCTTATATATTTAAATGCCATTTAACAAAGAAAAATCAACCCAAAAAATGAGTTCGCGTGTCACCTCTGACACGCGTGTCCTAGATTCGCCACCCCTGGCCTAGACACTCAGAGACGGAAGGTAACCAGGTAGGATGGTCTGACCGTGAAAGTTCCTAAAAGTGAGTCACGTCCTGGGCCCGTAGCTTTCTTGACAAAGGTCAGTCTTTACCTTAAGTGAGCCCTTCTATTGTCTTTTTGCATCTAAGATAACATACCTTGCGTGTGTGTGTGTGTGTGTGTGTGTGTGTGTGTGTGTGTGTTAATCCTCGCCTGGGGATATTTTTCCATTGATTTTTAGGGAGCGTGGAAGAGAGAGGGAAAGACAGAGAGAAACATCGATGTGAGAGAAACACATCGATTGGTTGCCTCCTGCACGCGCCCCGACAGGGGTCCAGGGAGGAGCCTGCAACCGAAGTACGTGCCCTGTGACTGGAGTCGAACCCGGGACCCTGTGCTCCGCAGGCTGATGCTCTATCCACTGAGCCAAACCGACTCGGGCTAAGATAACAGACCTTTGAGCTCCTTTTCCAGGCCCCTCAGGGTGTGCTCACCCACCAGGGCCGAGGCCCGAGACCCCCTGGGTAACCCGGGCCCTGAGTACCATCTCCATGTGCCGTACATGCCCGTGAACCACTCCCCTGATCCCGCCCGTGCTAAGAAGCACGTGTCTCCCCGTTTTACTTTTTACCCAACCCCAGCGCTGTCCCTTCTTTGCTTTCTCCCGCCCCCTTCATCTACCACCCGTGGGGCTCACGTAACCCTCCTTACGTCTCCCGCGTGGACTGTAAGGTGTAAACATAAGCTGCAAAGCTGCCACGCTCAGGGACATTCCTTCCGTTTGTTGAGATGTTGCTTCCAGGCCATTGTGATCATTTTTGGCTCAAACTCATAGAAATTCTCTACAGCTTTGGATGCTTCTTACAGCGACACACCACACAAGGAGAGACACGCAAATACACAAAGGAAATGCCGAGCAGCCCTGGCCGGGTGGCTCCGTTGGTTGGAGCGTCCTCTTGTGCACCCAAAGGTCACGGGTTCGACTCCCAGGCAGGGCACCTAGCTAGGCTGTTGGCTCGATCCCCCATCGGGGGCTCGAATGGGAGGCAACCGACCCATGTTTCTCTCTCTTTCCCACTTCCTCTCTCTCTCTCTCTCTCTCACATAAATAAATAAATTGCTGGACAAACAATTCCAAAGTTGGAGTGAGAGCTCTTTCCTCTTGCTAAACCTGCTTTCTTAAAATGTACATGCTAAGAATTTATACTCCTTCTGTGGTTATTTTTAACAAACATATATGTAGCGTGTTCTGTGAACCAGGCACCACTGTGGGTTTTAAACCTCTTCACCCATTTTAAAAAAAATTTTTTAAATATATATTTTATTGATTTTTTTTACAGAGAGGAAGGGAGAGGGATAGAGAGTTAGAAACATCGATGAGAGAGAAACACCGATCAGCTGCCTCCTGCACCCTCCCCACTGGGGATGTGCCCACAACCAAGGTACATGCCCTTGACCGGAATCGAACCCAGGACCCTTCAGTCCGCAGGCCAACGCTCTATTCATTGAGCCACACCGGTTAGGGCTCTTCACCCATTTTTTAAAATCGGTTTTATATTTACAATATGACTCTTCTGATCACTTTTTAAAATTGATTTTAGACAGAGAAGAAGGGAGAGGGTGGAGAGAGAGAAACATCAATGTGAGAGAGGAACATCGGTCGGTTGCCTGCAGCCTGGGCCTGGCCCTGACCGGGAATCGAACCTGAGACCTTCCGGCGCACCGGACAACGCTCCAACCAACTGAGCCAGACGGGCCAGGGCACATTTTTCACTCATTTAATGCCCGGGGCAAAATGTACACGTTACAGGTGAGGAAGTTGAGGTTCAGGGGGACTGAGGCCCCGCAAGGCATCCCCGGTGGACCTGGAATCAGAACCTCATCGTCCTGGCTCCCGAGTCCATGTTCTCAGCCTCCGTGCTGTGCTGGGAGGGAGCTGGAGAACCGCTACGGTCCACATCTTCCCATTTCAAAGTTGGACAACTGAGGCCCACAGAGGAGAGAGCGTGTCCCTGGACGGGGACCAGGCCCGGGGCAGGTCTGCCTCCGGCCGGCCTGTAGTGTGTGGGTTCTTGACTTTGTGCAGGAGAGGTTTCACAACATGAGTCCGGGTGATTGTGAGAGTGTGTTTATTAAAGCCGGGACAGTGACACAAGGCTGCTGTCAGCTCACGGGGAAGTCAGAGAAAAGGGGGCCTTGGGGACAGGGTAGGGGGTGAGCTGCCGCCGCCCACTGCTCTCCTGGTTGCCAGTTTCGTGGGGACCTTAGAGTTTTTAGGAGGAAGTAAAAGTTCATGCCCGCGAAGGGGCGTGGGCGTGCTCTAGAGCGAGCCACTGCTGGCATCCTTTGTCTTGGGGGTTTTATCTCCCTTCTGCAGGCGAGAATCTTAGGGGAGGGTTTCGGCAGAATATTCATCAGTTTTCCAGTTTGTTTTTTAAAAATATATTTTATTGATTTTTACAGAGAGGAAGGAAGAGGGATAGAGAGTTAGAAACATCGATCAGATGCCTCCTGCACACTCCCCACTGGGGATGTGCCAGCAATCAAGGTACATGCCCTTGACTGGAATCGAACCTGGGACCCTTGAGTCAGCAGGCCAACGCTCTATCCACTGAGCCAAACCGGTTAGGGCTGTTTGTTTGTTTTTTAAAATATATTTTTATTGCTTTCAGAGAGGAAGGGAGAGGGAGAGAGAGATAGAAACATCAATGATGAGAGAGAATCATGGATCGGCTGCCTCCTGCACGCCCCACACTGGGGATCGAGCCCGCAACCCTGGCCTGTGCCCCGCCGGGAATCGAACCGTGACCTCCAGGTTCATAGGTTGACGCTCAACCACTGATCCCCTCCGGCCGGGCTCCAGGTGTGTTTTTAATATGCAGATGCATCCAAATGAGCATAGAGTGGAGTTTGGGATTATTCCTTGGTCTACTTTGCTGTTTTAGTTTTATCTTGGGTCTGTCTGGCTCTAATGGTTTTTGAAAAAAATATTTTTTTATTGATTTCAGAGAGGAAGGGAGAGGGAGAGAGAGAGAGATAGAAGCATCAATGATGTGAGAGAATCATTGATTGGCTGCCTTCTGCACCCGCCAGGGATCGAGCCCACAATCCGGGCACGTGCCCTTGACCGGAATCGAACCAGGGATCCTTGAGTCCCCAGGCCGACGCTCTATCCAATGAGCCAAACCGGCTCGGGCTAGTGGGGCTCTAGTGGGGAGCTCTAGCTCCCTGGACTTCATCTGTCCTTGGGTTCGCCCGGCACCAATGGCAGTAACTGGGCCTCTGTCTCTTGCTCCCCGAGCAGGGGGGGTAAGCTCCGTGCTCTCTGGTTGGGGAGGAGCGATTTAAACCGTTTGCTCTCAGGTCCTTGGTGAGGGGGGAGAAGTCTCGCGATTCCCTAACTGGCTGTACTTTGTTCAGATTGTTTGGCCTGGTGTAGCTATCCGTCTCGGTTTCCCAGTCTCCTTGCCCAGGAATTTCCCCTGCTTCTTGCTATCCTGCCAATGGGGCTTGTGTGTGTTCCGTCTGCCCCTGGGGCCTCAGGCTCTGTGGTCCTCGTTGTGGTCTTTCTGTGGCGGACTCGGCCCCGAGCTGTCTCCCCCGGGACACGAGAGGCAGGAGCAATTACTGGTCAGTCCTCAGGGCTCAGCCAGGCAGACCGGAGGGCTGGGTACACCCGTGGGGGCTGGGAGGGGGCAGCAGGCTGTGGGTGCTGGGGGAGGAAGGCCTCCCGGGGCCCTGTGGGGACAGCAAGACCCCCCGGCCTCCAAGGTCACACCACACGCAGGTCTGGCTTCCGGGAGGCTGGTGACACCGAGACTGCGGGTGGGGACCGGGCCAGCCTTCCACCCACCACGCCATCCTGACCTCATCTGCTGCCCAGTCATTAGGGATGTGTGAGTCATGGGAAGAACACAGGACAAACACACCTCGGGAGGAGGGAAAGGCCACTCCTGCTTCCCCGGGGAGGGATGTGTGGGCCGGGAGGCGGCAGTGCCAGCAGCCGGGCAAACAGGACGAACTTCCAGGGACCCTCGAGGTGCCGGACGCTGGGGAGAGACCCCAGACGGCCAGGGCCCGGATCCTGCTCCCAGGCGGCATTTGGCCAAATCTGGGGCCCTCTTGCAAGAGCCGGTAAGGATGGAGGGGAGAGGGATGGAGGGGAGAGGGATGGAGGAAGGTGGGGGGGGGATGGAGGGGGTGGTTCACAATCTTGGCCCAAAAGTCTCCGTCTTTTCAGAATCTGGGCATCAGAACCTGAGTGTGAGGAATGGGCTCTTAATCACCATCATGTTGGAATCCACATCAGAACCCCAGGCTCTGGGACGGCCCCGGGCAGCCCGACCGGAAGGCTGCCCAAAAGATCCAAATATACCACCACCCTCAGGTGTCCAGCACCTCCCGGGAAATCCACCAGATGGTCACGTGGCCCAGGAACAAGCCCTGGAACCTGGCGATTCCACTTCTGAGGCCAGGCCCTTGGACTCCTCTTTCCGTGTAACATCCGCACAGAGGGGCGCGCACGCAGCGCGGGGGTGTCTCCGGAGCCGAGCACTCAGGTAACTGGCACCCACGGGGCTGAGGAACAGCCCGGGCTCAGGCCCAGCGTCCCCGGGGCCCCACCCCGTCACTCCCCACCCCCCATGGCACCCTCTGGCCTGGTTTTAACTTCCTGTGCGTGGGATTATCCAGTAGATTCTCCTGGGGGTGCCTGGCTCTCTCTCCTCACACGGAGCCCACCCAGGTCATGCTCTGGTCCTAGAACCTTCCACGGCCTGACTGGCGCGTGGTGTGTCTCTCCATCCCCCCGTGGGCGGGTATTTGCACTCCGAGAACACCCCGTGCGTGTCTTTCGGTTCCGTCTGTTCAGTCTCCATTGTGCCCCACGGTTCCCCCCAGCAGCGGTTCCAGCCAGACCGGCTGATGCACAAACACACGGTGACCCTGTAGCTTCCCCGTGCCTCAGTTTCCCTCTTTATTATTATTATCATTATTATTTTTTAAAAATATATTCTTATTATTTCAGAGAGGAAGGGAGAGGGAGAGAGAGACAGAAACATCCATGATGAGAGAGAATCATTGATCGGCTGCCTCCTGCACACCCGCCTATTGGGGATCGTACCCTGGACCGGAATCGAACCTGGAACCCTTCAGTCCGTAGGCTGACGCTCTAGCCCAGTGATGGCGAACCTTTGGCATGTCAACATTTTGAAAAACCCTAACTTAACTCTGGTGCCGTGTCACATATAGAAATTTTTTGATATTTGCAACCACAGTAAAACAAAGACTTATATTTTTGATATTTATTTTATACATTTAAATGCCATTTAACAAAGAAAAATCAACCAAAAAAATGAGTTCGCATGTCACCTCTGACACGCATGTCATAGGTTCGCCATCACTGCTCTAGCCACTGAGCCAAACCAGCTAGGGCTTAAAAAATATTTTTATTGATTTCAAAGAGGAAGGGAGAGGAAGAGGGAGATAGAAACATCAGTGACGAGAGAGAATCATTGATCCGCTGCCTTCTGCACGCCCCCTACTGGGGGGTCGAGCCTGCAACCCGGGCATCGAACCGGGAATCTATTCCTGACCGGGAATGGAACCGTGACCTCCTGGTTCACAGGTTGATACTCAAACACTGAGCCACGCTGGCTGGGCTGGGCCCTCTTTATTATTGTCTCCGTCACATATCAACTAGGCACACGCTGTGTGCCTAATGCTGTCCAGGATGCCGGACACGGCAGGGAAGAGCGGACACTCCGGAAAATGGGGGTAATGATGATAATCCTGACATTCTGGGAAATGGAAATAATAACAACTTATTTCATAGGGTTACGCCTCGTCTATTATGTGAATGATTATAAAATTATTATGGTAACTATGTTTTATATGTAGATAGAGACATACAAGCAGACTGCATTATATAAAATAATGATGCTGCTCATGGATTATCACTGAATGTCCTTTAGTCCGAGGCTGACTAATAAGCGTGCCATGCCCAGACCGTGGGCTGATTCTGAAGCCGTTATGGAGACAGGAGGGTGTGTGTGTGCAGATAGGGAAACAGACCGAAGACACATGAAGTGGATGAGATTAAGCGATGACACAGTGGGTGCTGAATGTTCCCATTTCTGTGTGATATATGAAAAGGGAATAACATACACAGACGGACTGAGTTGCTTACACGCGGAGAACTTTCCGGATTTTACTCGGTGAGAGCTGGGGAGGGCGGGGGGTCTCGGGCGGGGAGAGAGGGCGGGCCTAGATGGCAGATAGCGGTGCCGGCCACGCGCACACGCCGAAGGCCACCGAGGCCCAGGTGCTGCGCTCAGCTCTTCACGCCCATTAACTTGGTGAATTCGCACAACACCCGCTAGATGAGGCAGTGGAGGCACAGAGAGGTTAAGTGACGTGCCCAAGGCCACACAGCTGGTGAGATTTGAGTTTTTAATTAAAAAAAAAAATCTTCATCCAAGGATATGTTTCTATTGGTTTTTGGAGAGATGGGTGGGAGGAGAGAGAAATATCCATGTGAGAGAGAAACATTGATTGGTTGCCTCCCGTATACACCCAGACCAGGGATCGAACCCCAACCCTAAGGATGTTCGCTGACTGGGAATCGAGCTACACCCTTTTGGGGCACCAGATGATGCTCCAACCAACTAAGCCACCCAGTCAGGGTGAGTTTTTAAAAAAAACTTTTAAGAACTTTAAAAAATATATATATTTTTATTGAGTTCAGAGAGGAAGGGAGAGGGAGAGAGAGATGGAAGCATTAATAAGAGAGGATCATTGATTGGCTGCCTCCTGCACGCCTCCTATTGGGGATCGAGCCTATAGCATGGGCGTGTGCCCTTGAGCGGAATTGAACCCGGGATCCTTCAGTCCACAAGCCGACGCTCTCTCCACTGAGCCAAACGGGCTAGGGCTTTACTTTTTAATTAATTAATTGATTGCTTGGTTTTTAAAGAGAGGAAGGGTCCTGGCCAGTGTTGCTAAATGGTTAGAACGTCAGCCCTTGCATTGAAGGGTCTTGGTTTCAATTCCAGGTCAAGGGCATGTATCTGGGTTGTGGGCTTGATCCCGGCCCCAGTCCGGGCATGTGCTCTCTCATATCGATGTTTCTCTCTCTCTCTCCCCTCCACCCTGCTTCCCTTCCACTCTCTCCAAAAATCAATGGGAAAAATATCCTCAGGTGAGGATGAACATAAATAAATAAAGAGAGAGAGAGAGAGAGAGAGAGAGAGAGAGAGAGAAAGCGCGCGCGAGAGAGAATCATTGGTTTGTTGTTCAACTTATTTTTTTAATATATATATATTTTTTTTATTGATTTCAGAGAGGAAGGGAGAGGGAGAGAGAGAAACATCAATGATGAGAGAGAATCATTGATCGGCTGCCTCCTGCACGCCCCCCACTGGGGATCTGCAACCCTGGCATGTGCCCTTGACTGGAATCGAACCCAGGACCTTTCAATCCGCAGGCCGACGCTCTATCCGCTGAGCCAGACCAACCTGGGCTGTTCCGCTTATTGATGTTTGCGTTGGTTGTCTCTTGTATGTGCCCTGACTGGGGATCAAACCTGCAACCTTGGTGCATGGGGATGATGCTCTAACCACCTGACCTCGGCCAGGGCTCCGAGGGTTTGAGTGTTTAAAGCTCACACATGTTCACTCTAGTGACGAACATACCATGAGAACAGAGCGCCGTCCTTCAAACACACACGCACTTCAAAGGGGCTTGGCCTCTCAGCGGCTACTGAGCTTCTCCTTTACTTTTGCAGGGTGGAGGGAACGGGCGGGGGGCGCCCCAACTTCCCCTCCGCCCTTCCTGTTGTGTCAGCCCTGGCTGGAACTGTGGGCAGCGCCAGCAGGCCGGCCCCGAGTCAGCAGAGAGCCTGAGAGCCAGGCCGCCCTGCAGATCCACCGTCTCCCCCAGCTCTTGCTCCGGGTCACGTGCTGTACGCACAGTAACTCCTCAAGGCCTCTCCCCAAACCGGTGAGGCAGGTTCACCTGGGTGACTCTCATTTCTCAGACAAACTGCAACCGGGTCACGGAGCCTGGATCTGCTCGCGGCCACTGGCTGTCCTGCCTTCTAACTCCCCCAAATCTAAGGTTTTTGGATGATAATAGTCTAGGGCCCGGAGTACCAGAGTGGGGCTAACACGGTCTGAAACTCAACTCTGTTTCTGGCTTAGCTGGGCGATCTTAGGTAAGTTACCTAACCTCTTTGTGCCTCGGTTTTCTCGTCTGCAGAATGGGTATAACAGTGGCATTACAACCAGAGGGTTGTTAGAAGGATTGAACAATAGGATGGCCCTAGCCCTAGCCAGTTTGGCTCAGTGGATAGAGCGTCAGCCTGCGGACTGAAAGGTCCCAGTTTGATTCCGGTGTCAAGGGCACATGCCCAGGTTGTGGGCTTGATCCCTGGTTGGGGACTTGTAGGAGGCAGCCGATCCATGATTCTCTCTCATCATGGATGTTTCTCTCTCTCTCTCCCTCTTCCTTCCTCTCTGAAATCAATAAAAATATATATAAAAAACAAACAAACAAAATAGGATGTTTAACGGTGCTTGGAGCAATGCCCAGCACATAGCACAAAGTGCTCCGTAAATAACGGCTTCTAAGAATAATATTAATAATCATATCAACAATAATTATTATTGCTGTAATCCCGTGGTCGGCAATCTGCGGCTCGCGAGCCACATGCGGCTCTTTGGCCCCCTGAGTGTGGCCACAAAGTTTCAATCGCACTGTACGTGCGCGCCCGCACGTGGTGTTTTGCGGAAGAGCCACACTCAAGGGGCCGCAGTTTGCCGACCACTGCTGTAATCGACCATGTTGCTTCTCGGCTCAGTACCCGCCCATCTCACATGGAACACAAGATAAGGTCCGAAATGCCCCATGTGGCCCCTGATATCTCTCTGTTCTGACTTCCCCTTAATCTCCTCATCTATCACTCCAGCCACATGATGTTCCTTGAACGTGGCCATCACATTCCTACCCCAGGGCCTTTGCACTGGCTGTGTCCTGGGCCTCAAAGTCTCCCCTAAACCCACACACGGCGCCCTCTCTCTCTTCCTTTATGGCTTCGCTCAGATGTTACCTTCTCAGAGATGCCCTCCCTGACCACTCATTTAAAATCCCAACGTAGGGAATTAACACTTCCCTGTGTGATTTTTTCTCTCTCTTGGCCATAGCATTTGTCACCTTCGGAAATACTCAGGATTTTGCTTGTTCTTCTCCTGTCTGACTCCTCCCACTAGAGTGGCAGACCCAAGGGAAAAGGGTTTCTGTATTGTTTTGAACATATATTTTATTGATTTATTAACGAGAGAGAAATAGAGAGTTAGAAACATGCATGAGAGAGAGACCTCGATCAGCTGCCTCTTGATCACCTCCTACTGGGGATGTGCCCGCAAGCAAG